CAAATATAAAAATATCAAAATAATTGATCGTGTGTTTTCACGAAAATATATATTTTTCAAAATATTAAGAAGTCCCGGGACTTTGTATATATTCTGCAGAAATAATTAATCTAATAATTGCTAATTAAAATAATTGTACGGAACAATTGCATTTCGCACAAGATATTGTACGTGATAATATGATAATATATGGACCCTTACTTTTACGCTCTCATTGTGCTCAAAGATAATGAGTGGAATATATCGCGAACATGCACAGTTGAAAAATTTCTGTTAAATTTAATAGATATCACATGTCCCAAACGGTCCACAGAAATTTTTGTGTTAATTTAACATAATATGGATATATGTTAAATGGAGACACAAATATTCTGTTAATATTTTAACACAAAATAAATGCAAAACTTCAAATTATTTATAATAAATTTTGTGTAAAATTAACATATTTTTAATGTAAAAATTAACAAAAAATATGTTAATTTTAGATCTTATCATCCCTACTTATAAATATTATAATATAAAAAATCAACATTTTTTTCTGTAAATTTTAACAAAAAAATCTTGTCACTAATAAAGCAGAACATATTTATTGTGTAAAATTAAAAATAGATGCATTGTGTCATTTTTATATTTTTTCAGTTGTTTTAATAATTTAACATTTAAGTTCAATTAACAAAACAGTAATATGTTAAATTAACACATGAATGTGTTAAATATTTAACACAAAAATGTTTCTATTGTGTGTATATCCCTACCAGTTCATATATAAAAATCTTTCGAAAACGAATTGTAACAATGATTATAAACAAAGTATTCGTCAGCTTGATGTCATCTAACGTATTATTGTCGATCTGCTGTGGTTCTATTTATCGCCTAATAATTGCGTAACATTCGACTGTTTCTCCCGTCGCGTGCGGATTGACCGACCTTTTTTAATTAATTTCTCATTTGCTCAATCATTATTGCGAAGCTCGCACAACGACAGAGAACTTGCACAGAATAATGAGACCAATACATTAAAAAAGTACAGTTGATTTATAAAAATATATATTGCAAATTACAAATATTGTTTCTTCAAACCAATTACTTTCTTCACATCAATTAATTAGTCTCATTATTTTGGGCATAAAAGTATTCAGGTAAGATTACCGAAAATCGAATGTTTTACAAGATATTTGATATTTTATGTCAAAATATTGTATTCTCATATAACTGGAGAAATACTTAACGGAAAGAAACTTTATTATAGTGTTTTGAAAAACTGTCAAGATAAGCTACAAAAAATATTTAATAAAAAATGGAATTTTTATTTAAAAATTTAAAGTGATTTTTGTGACTTTGATGATGCTATTCAAGGTCATACTATAATATTACAATATAATGCGTAACTTGAAGCTCTCACAACTTTTGTTTCAAACATTTTTCACGAAAATATATATTTTTCGAAATATTAAGGGATTCTTTATATTTTTTATCTATATAAATAATTAAATAATTCTCTATATTATAAATAATTAATCTATAATAATGTTTGTTAAGTTTGTTCATTTGAGAGAGAAAGCAATACCCATAATGTGATTTAAATTTCTTTCTTCTATTTCTAAACTTTGTCTTATAAATTGATTTCGATAGTATTAAACATTTTATTTTTAAAATATTAATATCCGACATCCATTTTAGTTATTTCACTATGTTTGTGATCATTAAACGCTAAATATTTTTCGAAAATTCTGTTTTGCTAAATTATTGATCACAACACGGCCATTAAGCATTGTAATAAAAATTAACAACCAATAAATCGCTTTCTAGCAATAAAAATGGAATTATTAAAAGTTTTAATATAATTTTATCGTCGCATATAAAACTCGCGAAACTTTTATGCATTTTATCATTAAAATTCGATGCAAAAAAAAATAATAGACAACTGTTTCAAAAATTAAAAAATTCAAAAGTCTTTCAGCAAATACGTATATTTCTGCACAGTAGAAACATTTGTTTTTTTTGTTGTTAAAAATGATCCCCGTTAAAATTTTTGTGTTAAATATTTAACACATTCACGTGTTAATTTAACATAAGTATTACTGTTCTGTTAATTGAACTTAAATGTTAAATTATTAAAACAACTAAAAAAGTGTAAAAATAACCCAATGTGCATCTATTTTTAATTTTACATAAATAAATATGTTCTGCTTTATTAATGACAAGATTTATCTGTTAAAATTTACAGAAAAAAGTTAATTTTCTATTTTATAATATAAATAGGGATGATAAAATCTAAAATTAACACATTTTTGTTAATTTTTACATTAAAACTATGTTAATTTTACATAAAATTTAAATAATTTAAAGTTTTGTATTTATTTTATGTTAAAATATTAACACAATATTTGTGTCTCTATTTAACATATCCATATTATGTTAAATTAACACAAAAATTTTCGTGGACCGTTTGGGACATGTGATATCTGTCAAAACAGAAAATTTTGAACTGTGTATTATATTTCATATGCGATGAAATCAGCGAATATGCAAGACATGTTGCTTTGTTATGACAAGAAAGAAGCCTTTCTTCCGACAACAATCCGATCTAGTCTGATGGCCAACCGCTGACCTACTTCATATTTGACCAGTAAAGCGGGCTTAACGACTTCAACACCAATCGAAAAGCCAGCCCTGAGATTAGAGATAACTAAACATTGGCCTTGACATTCATACGATAACTCAAGCGATTTATCAGACGTGCGAATATATATCTACGACTCTTTATGGAAAGGTGCTGTCTTATCACGGCATTTAATTCGAAGCTTAGCGTGTCAAATACTCGTTAATTGATATATCAAAAATTAGATTAAGAAATACTTTGCGTGGTAAAAATAAAAATTTGTACATGTAATAACACATATACACAAGTAAACATATAAATACTGCTTATCTTCGCGCTCTTTAACACTGTCAGTTTAAAAAAGATCTTTTTTGGAGTAGAACTAAATTTGGGAAAACAAGTATTTTAGCATAAATTTCTTCGACCATTTAATAAGAATTAAAAAGCCTTTAAAATCTCAACAATATCTTACTGATAAAATTTCAGATAAAACTTTGATCAAAACAAGCATGATAACGAAACCCAAAGATCCGTCGCAAGTAAACTTGTACCATTTAATTGTAAGATCAAAGAGTTCATTAATACGGTATCACTTTTTATTAGTCCAGCGGAGCCTATATTTGTTTGTGAAATTGTTTCTTGATTGTTTGATAATTGATGTTTCCCAGATGATGAAGTATGATCGCATGTTACAAAGCACAGGCACGTTACTTATCGAGTAAATTGCAGAAACTGCGGCATGCGAGAGTGCTACAGAATGCCAGAAATTCTGCTTTTCTATCATTAAGAACGATTGGCAACCTTTCGCTGCACGAGGATACATGATACGAGATACTCTCTCTTAATGAGCCTTAATGTTTTTTTTTTAATTTTGTAGACTCGATTAATCTGTCGTTAACGAAAGCCAAAATTACGACAAAATTTCAGTTATTACGAAAGTGATATGTGAAAATAATTTATATTAATTATTTACAATTAATTATTTAGATTTAATTTATATTAATTTATATTTTAATATAACTTTAAATTATATTATTTATATTAATTTATATTAATTATTTTAGATCAGTTTCATTGTACATTTATGGTAATGTACAATAATTATGTCTATCTGACCTTAAATATTATTTTGTATCAATTATTGTGTAATGTTATATTTGCAGAATTTTTTTCAAATTTTTTCTAGAAGAGTGTTAGGAGCAGAAAAATAAATATGAGATGTACGAACTTTAAAGTAAATGTGATCGTCATCATTAACGCGTATTATGTTTCATACGCAATTTATCGTTGAATCACGAATAGTGATGTTACGCAATAGTTCCATAGGTAATAAAAAAGTCACACACACATATCGAATTTTTTCTGCGATGACCTCTTCGATCTCTTTCAACACCTGTGTATTGAATTTTCTTAACTCAAAGTCCTTTCCGAGATATATTGATCTATAGATTAAAATGTGTCACTTCTGTATATACAGGGTGTCTGATATAAAATGTCACACCGAAAATATGCAAGTAGATCTTGTTATTTGGAGACGATTTTTCCTCAGCAAAAATGTTGAGGAAGGTCATCATTTTTTGCATGTTTCCAATTTTTGCCATCATGTATCTTTATAACTAAACCAAATTAAAATTTTATTAAAGTAAACTCTAATTTATTAGAGAATGTGGTTTTGTTAATATTTTATTTCTACAAGGCTTAGTTTGCGAAAAACCCTTTATTTTCAATCGCTTATAACTCGAAAATTATTGATGTCCGTAAACAAATCTAAGATTGTGGAGATAGGAGATTAAAAATGTTTTGACTCAATTTCAAATAAATGACCTTAATAGTACACCGCAAGACATTCACAGAATATCCAGAGGACATCCGAACATCCTCAGGATGTTCTCTGAACGTCTTCGGGATATGTGCTATTAGGGAAATTCGATTCTGCAAATTCTGAAACCTAATCTTTGCAATGCATTAAGCGACCAAGACCCAATACACCAAATAATCTTATGCGTATGCGCCAAAATTTTTAATCGAATACAGACAATACTGTGGATAATCGATAACTGCAACTGCGTCTATTAATCTATCGGCAAACTGTGGAATATTTGTCACAGATATTTGTGCGAGGATTACCAATGCTTTCTGAAGGAATCTCGCCGGCCGGCGAGACGCGTCCCTAATAGCACAACATATCCAAAAAATATTCAAAGGATATTCAGAGGATATTCAGAGGACATTCGAACATTTTCAGGATGTTCTCTGAACGTCTTCGGGATATGTGTGCTGTTAGGGGTAGACTATCGAAATGATGACTAAAAATGATGACGCAAAAGATGATTATAGAGTTCCCTAGATAGCAACTTTAGGAATCCTTCATTCTGATCAGATCAAGTGACACTTGTACCTTTGATCTCGGCAATGTGTGCGTCGTATTCGCTTCTGCTGCGCATATAGTCGATCCTTGCCGCGACATTCTGGAAACTTTGATTCCGGTACTCGGCGTACCACTCCGATGGTGGCCGATCATCAGGACCCAATTGTTGGGCCACACGTGAACTACTGCATCTCCTCTGCGATAGACTCTCTTCCGAGGGAAATCTCGTGAAGGAGGTGACCGAACTGGATTTACTGCCGTGACTATGGACATCATGGCTCTGATAGGCCGAATCCTCGAGAGGATGTTCCTCACTAGGGGTTCTGTTGGATTCCGTTAACCGCTGAACGGTCATGATATCGTCATTGTTGGCCGCGTTATCCAGACTGATTTCCCGTACGCTCTTTCTCACGGTAATCTTCTCGAATTTGACAACCTTGGCGCCGTTTAACTCGCCCTCCTCCACCAGACGCTCGAAGCTCTCCTCGAACGAGGAGTTGCTCGCTCTGGAGGAGGGTCGAGGCCGGTGCGTGGGCGATCGAAAGGGTGCCCTGCGTGCGTCAGCATTCTCCAAGAGATCCTCGGTGCTGGAACTACGTCCAGCTGACCAGATCTGCTCGAAGAAGCTCACTCGGTCACGCAGCCGGCCACCGCGTGGCGTTCTCGGGCTGCCGGTGTCGCCGTACCTCCGGTGTCGCCACCACCGGGACTATCCACCCTCGGAGGAGTCGGACTACCCCTGGGTGGAGTTGTCCACGACATATTCGAAAGGCTATTCCCTCACTTCATCGTCAATCGACCACGTCTCTGACTTATCTAACTCGGATCTCTCGCTCCCCTAATTTCAGACTCCAGCCACCTAACACCTGTTCTCCCAACACCACACCTTGTACACTGGGTTGCATATGACGCGTACGCGCCTACGTCACCTTACTTAGAGCCCACAAGTAGAATGTCGACGGTGTCTTTTAGCAATCGTACGGGCAAATAGGAATGCTTCGAATATTTTTTTTGTATTAGAATGCGCACTTATATACAGATCTCATAGAAAACGTGTGTGCACGCGCGCGCGCGCGCACGCGCTGCCACTAGGTATATACGCCTGTATATTCATATATATACTGGCGCATGAAATGCACAAATACGGAATGTATATGGTGACCGTGCGCGACGGTCGGCGGTTCGATACTGCCGGCTCGTCGAGGTTTCCTCCGTCTGCTATCACCGCCATTCCCACTGCTCGCGATGACGCGATACGAGACGACGCGCAGCGCTGGTAGACCACCCGATTGTTCCCCTCCGAAGAAGTTCGTGGCTCGTCTTCTGGTGGTTCTTTATTTTTTTTTTACTCCGATCAATTCTTATATCCTGCCTCTTCCTATCCTTCCGGCACTCTCGCTTTTATCGCGCGACGTCGACCGGTAATTCGACTGATTCGTTTCGGATGTTACCTCTTTCAAAAGTTGAAACTAATTCGAACGACTTGCGATTAATCGATTATTATGCAATCACGGAGCGAGATCGTGTTACGTCATGGAACATGTGTGATTTTATGATAGCTATAAAAAAATGAAGAAGACTCTGATAACAATTGTAGGTAACAAGATTTTGCTCGTTGCTATACATCCACAAAAAGAAAATGTTTCAAATTTTTGAAAAAAAAGTAATATAAATAATTTAAAAAATTAATATATTATATGTACACAGGATGATTTATTTTAATCGCTCCAGGCAAATATTTTGAAAAATACAGAAGATACGAAAAAACGTTTCATACAAAAGTTTTATGATTTCAAGAGAAACATAAAATGGTGTATTATTGGTTTGACCTTGGATCATTTGAAGATCACCTTCAATTTCTTAAATAAAACTTTCTATTTTTCATTACATATTCTTGTAGCTTATCTCAAAAGCTTTCCAAAGGCTTGGAGTTTACAAGTTTTGGAAATTAAATATAAAATATTTTTAAAAATAATTTTATATGTTTATTATAATTTTATTTTTTATACTTAAAAAATAATTTTATATTTGAAAATATAAAATACTTTTAAAATATTTAGTTTTCGGTAATTTTACTTTAATACTTTTATGTACGCAATAATGAGATCAATAAATTGGTATAAAGAAAACAGATAATTGTTTTTTAAAAACGTATGTAATTTGTAATATGCAGTTACGTACTTTTTCTTAAAAGCAACTATGTGTTTTTCTTACACCAGTATTTTATGTCAAAATATTGTAAATTTTAAGCCTTATAACTTAAAAAGTATTTAAGAAAAAAAAAACATTTTATTATAGTATTTTAAAAAGCTCTTAAGATAAGCTGCAAAAATATGCATTAAAAAAAAGAGTTTCCATTCAAGTAATTAAAAATGACTTTCAAACAATTATCTAAGGTCAAACAATAATACCGTCTTATCTCCCCTCGAAGTCATGAAACTTTTATATGAAACGTTTTTTCGTATCTTTTATATTTACCGAAATATTTGTCTGGGGTGATTAAAATAAATCATTTTGTATATACAATTATATATTTTTTAAAAATTTGAAATACTTAAAAGAACGAGTTAAATGATTACAAGAAGAAAGCAATAGTTATTTAAGTCTTTGATAAAGCTAACATCCTTACAAAATTTTCTTTGTCAATTCTTGTTTAGTTGAAATGTAACTGAAATAAAGCTGTACAGTAAGCTGGATGCCATATGCGAAACGAAATGAGCTAGTTTAGAAACGCTTAATGTAATCAAACAAGTTAAAAATCTTAAGGCATAAGAGAACACCCACTTTATCTGTTCTCTTTTAAGCTACACGTTAAACTACGCGTTACATAATTCGTAGAGTTAAAGAAAAATTAAAATTGAAAAATTTAATTAAGCTTTCAGTAATATATTACGTAAATATATATGCTACTTATTAGCAGTTATGATTAAATACAAATATGAATCATATAAATTACGTCACGTAGATGCATAATTAATTGCGCATGAGAAATCATTAATTTGATCGATTATTTCATAGATCGATGTAATGATTATTACTTGTTGCAAATAAACTACATTGCAAATATCAATTTTTTTTCACTAATAAACAGTGACAGTGATATAATATTTATAATATAGGCAGTTCTTTTTATTAACGCCTTGAACTATTCGATGACGTGATGAATCCAACGCGGTTTCCATTAATTATAAAGCATCCTGCATTTTAAATTTTAATTAATACAAGGCGCATATCTAGCATGAGAGCGTCATAACTTGAAAATTTTATACACATTTATCCCGTTAAGGCACGAGTTAGGCTCACACAAGTTGCAAGATTTATTAAGCACAACTGAGGTAGACAAGAATTTTAATGAACGCATCTAGATCCTCCATGATCTATTAACAGCCTACTTTTAATTGACATTATTCTAGGACATAGAAAATTTTTTTTAAGTTAACAATGTTTGTTAATCTAGATAATGTTAACAAACATGTATCACCTATATATTTTTCCTAAATTATATGCGTGCGTCTAAATATCATAAAAATTTAAAAACAATAAAACATTAAAAATTTTTAATAGTGCTAAATTTTAATAGCTAACAAAAATATCTTATCGCTTTAATATGAATTATTAAAAGAAAAAGGAGATAAAGGTTCTCCTTCATTAAAATTTCACTAAGGACTATAAAAACATATTTGTCGAGGAACCAAGACAAATCTTGAAGCGTAATATCTGAGATATTATTTTACGAATCGAGAACGGTCTTGAAACATTTATGCCGTCAATCTATTAGTGAACCGATGTATCCAGCAAAACGAAATGTCTCCGGACAGGAAAAGCGAACGTAACGATTGCGAATGCGCAGCAGGTGTTCGTCACGTCTATTTATAACTCGTTCACGTCTCTACAGATTCTATCCTATTTTCTTCTGCACCACAATTCGATTTGCCGAGTATGCGAGACGCATGTCGTCTCGTGAACTGCGCCAGAAGATTAATCATAAACGATTATGATCTTGCATATATCGATAAACGATGCATATCTTAAGTAATGGAATTGCAAATGAAGAGTTTATTTTCAAGCCATCTATTTCCATTTTAACAAACTACCTTATTAGTCATAAAATAGTTTGCGATAAGTTTCATAACATACAAGTTTTATTTTGCAAAATCTAGGGATTTGTTTTTTTATTGCTACAACTGGTGAGAACTAGTGCATACCAGTGCAATCAATTAGAGTGAAACAAAATATACTTGTTTCACTTTAACTTATTGCACTAATTCACCAGTGCAGCAAAAGAGAACAAATTTTTCCTAAATAAAAATGTTAGAAATAAATATACATCAGTAAAAATGCAAAATAGTTTATAATTATAGATTCTGTAAAAGAATAAGTGATCACATTTAATGTCCATTATTTTTCTTATAATGTGATCAGTCATCAAAAATCGACCTGTCCAAAATCGGGATATAACACGTCCTTAAAATGATTTTTAGATATCATATCACAAGACTTGTTGAAGATGTCTTAAAGACTTTTCAAAGGTGTCCTAAAGATTTGTTAAAGATGTCTTATGCCTCAATTTTGAAGATGATGCTATCTAGGATCCTAACACATTAATCCCCAAGGTTTCATAAAATTTACCTTGCAATTGCTGGATAGTAGCTTGGTACTCAGCAAGCTTCTCGTCCACGTAATCTTGACTCTGACTGGCGATGATCTCGGCTGTGCTTGGACCACTGCTTTCCTCGTCCGTCTGCGTATGATCTAAGGGCACTCCGATATATTCGTATTCCCCAGGTCTGTAGGGTGCTATCAGATATTCTGGAGGCGCGCATGGTACCGGAGACGTCGAATCGCTCGTAAAGGAACTCTGCAAATTAAGAAAAACAATGTTTCAACTTTGTTATGCCACTTCACTTTTCTTAAATAAATTTCCTCCTTTCAAGGGAATACTGACCATGACTGTTTTACCGACTTTGAGTTCAAGGGCTTTTCTTTTTATTGACTATACAGATTGAAAAATTCTTCTTCAAAATTAAAGTACTGATAATAATGAACGGGGAGTGCTGTAATTTCGTATAAAAAAACAATAAAAGTTAAAAAAATTACAGTTTTTTATCGGCTTCTTGCATCAGCTCATAACAATACTTATTTAATACAAAAGTTCTGCAGCTTATTTATGCACAAAATATGACGCTCCCAATAGAAATGACATGAAAGAATAATGCAGAAGTGTGAATAATGCTAAAAATGAGATTAAAAACCTGTATCAAAAGATTCGTACTTGAATTAATTATAGTATGTATATTTGCGTGCGGAATCGAAGTCGAGGCATAAAACAGCAAAAATCAGTTGCCGGACAGTGTTCCCCATTATTATCAGTATTTTATTTATTATAGAGGATTTTTTAATCTGTATATTCAATAAAAAGTGAACCTAACCTAACTTAAAGTCGGTAAAACAGAACAACGGCAGCATAAGGTCCTCTTAAAGAACAATTCTTGAGGATAATGTATTAGAACTAGTTGTGATATATTATTTTCTAATTATTAAACTTTTTCTCAAAATACAAATCTAAATTGCAAAGGGCTAGAACAAGCCAGACGCAAATGAGAGTGTGTCAGTCTCAAGAACTACCCTAATAGTACAATATATTTAAACAATATTCAGAGAATATTCAGAGGATATCTAGAGAACGTTCGAACATCCTCAGGATATTCTTTGAACGTCTTCGGGATATGTATGCTGTTAGGGGATTAGTTACGCACAAATTTTTCTTGGTTTTGATACTATATCAATTCGAAATTTTGTTTTAATAAGTTTTCCTGATTCCTTTAACAAAGACGAGAAAAATATTGGGATGAAGTCGCTGAGTCAAATCCGAGTCTTCTTGCTGGACGACTGCTTTTACCTCTCATTCAGACCCTTGACATCTTTTTGATTTTGTCTACAACTTCTTACTATTTTTTTAAAAGTATATAATTTTTTTCAAATATTCTATTTTTTCCAATTATCACATATCTTTTGTATGTCAAAAGAGTATATTATTAATCAGATATAATAAAATATATAAAGAATATTCTTCGAATGTTACCCATGCATGTTCTAAGAATATTTCTGGAACATCTAAAATATGGACAAAAAATTGAACATTTCACGCTTAATTCAATATTCCTTGTATATTCTGTAAACATTCCAAAATATTATGGAATGTTCTTGGGATGTTAATTTTGGATCTTAAGAACATTTAATGAATATTCCAGGAATATTTAGCGTTTACCGGATATGTTGTATGCCCTTTTTGACATACAAAATCTGACGTTTCGTTCATATATGTATAGTCATGAATTAAACATTGGAGTTTTAAATGATCCAACAAATTCCGATCGCAACACACGATATATATATATTACACGACAATGTCGACTATTATAGCGATCTGTCGTCCTTCGTACATACCTGCGTCGGTATAAACGGCTTTGGTGCTTGACTGCTCGTAGGGATCGGCGAAGGCCACCGTGGTCTTGGACACTGGATGTAACCCGAAGTGGGACAGCCAAAGACGGGCGACATGCCGGGCGAGATAGGCATCCCGATCGGCACCGGGCTCATCGGGTGCATCATCATTCCGGGATACGAGAGCGGCGACATAGGACGAGTCGAGTGAATCGGGGTCGGAGGCCCACGTGGGACGCGTCCTTGCGGATGTGGCGACGACGAGGGCGTGTATGGAGACGCGGGCCTGAATGGGCTCGGCATATTGGGTGCATTAGCTCGCCCCGATCGGGGATTCGGAGGCACGTAGCCTCCGGATGCCCTCGACGGATGCTGCTGCGACATTTTTCGGACTACTTCGAATCACTTTTCGCCTTCTCGCCTCGCTCGCAGACCAGCATTGCTGCACAAGATTTAGATGGATATGAGGGGATGATTATTCGATCTTATTGAAATACCAGTTAAAGGGATGCTGACTGTTTTATCGATAAATATTTTTTTCATTTAATTATTTATTGGCTGTGCAGAATAAAAAATTATTTTTTTGAATTAAAATATTAATTAATATATTAATTATGTTTATATTTATTATTATATTAATTAATTATTAAAATATTAATTAATAAATTTGGGCCTTTATATAGAGGGTGTCCCATAGGAAATTGCTGAAACTAATCAGTTGTCATTTTTTTAATGCATGTAGTTATTGAGAAAACAAAAATTGTGTTAAAAAAAGGAGAGTCTACAGTTTGTAATGGATATAAATAAAATGTTTGTATACCAGTTTAAAGAGTCAATCAATAAGACCAATTTAAATGAAAATAATATTTGTTGATAAAACAGATACAGTCAGCATCCCCTTAATACTAGAATTATTCGATTATATTTTTATTTCAGCTTCAATAACAAAGTATACATATTGTATTTTTAGCCGAAAGAACAATTTGCATTTAAATCCTATCTAGACGTGATATTAATATTGGATGAAGGAAAAGTGCCATGTTAATTCTGCATCAAGATTTTATAAGATTATCTCTTACAATAGGGTTAACTGATTCGGTAAAAAAATACCAGCCAAGCGGTTAATTACTAATCTGCTACCTTGGATGTTAAACATTTTAATTAGTTTTTTAATTGTGCTATTTAAAAGAACTGTTTTAAAATTTAAGATTAACACAAGATAGAAATAACACATAAAAATTATTTTGCCAAATTTATTTCTATATTAATTAATATAAAAAATAACAATATGGATATATATAGATTAACAATATGATAGATTAACTACGAGAGATCTTAATTTATTATTTATTTACAATTTTACTAAAAGTATTTTAATTTTTGCTTAAAGTATATAACAAAATGGATTTTTACATAATAATTTCCAATACAAATAAAAATTATTATTATTTCTGATTATTACTTTATATTATAGAATTTATATCATATTTTTTTATGAAAGGTTTGTACATATGCAATAAAATATAAATTATTAAATAAAAACATTGAAGAAATTAGAAATAATAGAAAAGAAAAAGATTTTAAAATATGCTAAATAAAATAAATTATCATTGAATTGAAAATAATGATAGAACATGTGATATGATCCGACAATTGTCTGTTTTTTTTCAGCAAAAATAAAATAACTTTATAGGTGAATTTTTAAAGACATTAATTGAAGATTCTCTGGATCGCGTAATAGCGTCGGCTATTCAACGTGGCACGTGGCCAAAAATTTCTTGAAATTAGTGAGTATCTTCACATGTATTACTCAGGGTTGGGAAGTAACGCGCATTTTGTAATTATCGATATAATTAATTTTTCCGGGACTATAACGGCGTTAAAAATAAAATTTGTAAAAAAATTGAACAAATCATGAATTTAACAGTTACTTTTATTTTTCGAATTTACTCGATATAATTTTTATGCAAAATATTATGTTGATGAAGAGTGTTGAAATGCAGCATTACGTAAAAGCTACTAAAACTTTCTTTCGTATTTTGGTTCTCTCTATTTTCTTACAAACAGTTATATAATTCGATGATTGGTCAACAGTTCGAGATTATAAAAATTAATGTATCGTGTTTGGATTTTACAATTGTATAAGATTAAATGTATAAAAAAAGATGATTTTGATCATATTTATATTAAATCTATTGAAAGAAAACTAAAACATTAAGAAAAATTTTTTTATTTATATTTACAGCATTAAAAAGCTTGAAAGAGCTTTTTCGTAACTTTTTAAAAGTTTCTTATCCAAAATAAATTATTATTATCAAAATTATTACACACTTTGTATTAGTATAAAAATTATATTATTTTGTTAAATTTTTATAAAAACTACTATTTTTTAAAATGCAAAATATGAGTATTTAATTTAATTTTGTATTATTATTAAATAAAATAATGGAAGTTGTTGCTATTTGAGTACAAGTAACGAATTATTTTTACAAAGTAACTTCCTCTATCCTAGTTTACTTATAGTTTACCTATAGACTCTTAAACAATGTAAAAGAAAGTGTACATGTATTATATAATATCAAAATATCAAAGAGTATATTAATAAACAAGAAAATGTAAAGCTGTACTAAAGAGTATATTAATAAACAAGAAAATAAAAGCCTGTGTAAACAGAAGTTTTTGACTGTTAAATTCATATAATTTTCAAAATATCATTTGTTAATAAGCGCAATAATTTTGACAGTCGTTTTGCATTTATTTTTAGAAGCATATACTTAGCATATAAGTATGATTTATTTCGAAAGATTCCGTTTGTGTAAGAGTTCATTGATACTAGAGATTTTGGCAACTGGAAACGATAGTGATGTGCGTATTATGTGTGTGTGTGTGTGTGTGTATGTGTGTGTTTACAAGTCTATTTAATTTTGGGCCAGACGTGAAATGCATCAGATATTATTGCGTTAAATTATGATTTTAGTCATATTATTATCTCATTCATTATATACATATTTCTATAAATAATGTAAATCAAGACAAGAAGATTTTGAGTAAGTAATTTTTTGTAGAAATTTTTATATAGCAAAGATTAAATCGAATAATGATATAGCAAAATTTTTAGTAAAGGTATGTAATTCCCATACAGCACAAAATATTATGAATGTTTTCAAAAAATATTTCTATAAAATATTGCATAAAAATATTTTAATATGGTTTTAGGAATATTTTGAAATTATTTTAAAAATTTTGTGATAACATTTTTTTAAATATTTAAAAAAATTTTTTATGTTCTTCTGTATGGCTCAGATAATATTTTCTTAAATATTGGATACATATTTTTGAAATATTAGTTTAAATCTATATTTAAAAATATTTCTGAAAATATTTTTTAAACATAAAAAAACGGACCCAGAAATATTTTAAAAATATTTTCGAGAATTATTTTATCTTTTAAAAGATTTGAAAAGATTTAAAAAATATTTTGTGCTGTATGTTCTTACGTTTTTAATGACATATGTGTTTGCGATATTTTAGTCCTACGAGCCTCATCACATTCTATTGTTTCGTCAGGTCATTTCACACATCATAAAGTCAAAGGGGGAAGTCTAGGAAGTGCTCCGAATGCGCGTAGACCGAAAGTCTTAAGCTTTTTAGTTAGATACCGAGCGTAGGTCGGCTAAATATAGCACTATTTCTATTTTCGACCAGGGCGGCGTTTGTACACGCGTCCTACAAGCCAGCAGATATATTCGCAATGACTACGTCTGGTATTTCAGAAACTGACACGGATATTAACGACTGTAATCGTCATCGTCGTCGCGCCATTTCGATCATTACGCACAACGGAACCTAATGATTCCACGATCATAATTAATACGACCAGTGTGTGCTGTTATCTAATTGTAAGTAAAATTATATTGATGATTATCTAGATAAAATTCTGCGTTATCTTATCTTTATATATATATTAACATTTGCTAGATAATATATATTAACATTAGCTAATAAAGATGAGATAATGAGAAATATGTAAATTCATCTTAGATAGATGAGATAATGAGAAGATGATCTTAGATCTTAGATAGATGAGATAATGAGATATATGTAAATTCATTTTAGATAAGATGAAGATGATTTGTGGTTTTTAATATCTAGATAAAAGATAAATTACATGGCGACTTATCTAGATAATTTCCAGATAACATTATTTTTAAGCCCGCTTATGTAAATACAGTTATAAAAGATATAAATTATAAAAGATATAAATTATAAAAGATATAAATTATAAAAGGGATTAATATATTCATATTTTTATTTACTGTAAGTTTTTATTAACTTATAAGTTTTTATTACTGATTTGAACATTATTCTAGATAATTTATATAGATATAATTCATATTTTTATTATCTGTATAAAAATAAGATGACGCTAAAAGATTTTAGATGACCATCTATATAATTTTATTTAGATAATAGCAAACACTGTATAGATAATATAAATATGTAGTATTTTATATGTATCTTAGACAAAAAAAATGTTATCTTTAAATTATCTAGAATTATTATCTAAATTATCTCAAATAATGTTCAGATAATTTGGTTTATAGCATAGCATCTAAAAATACTTAAGTAGTAGAATTGACGCATTAAACGATAAAAGCTTACAAATAAAAATATGAATATATTTTTATATTTCTTTCATTATTCACATTTTTTTATAATTGTGTTTATATGAGCGGCCTTAAAAATAATATCAATAATATAAGTTTTTTTATTCATTTGTTAAAAATAATATTATCTAGAAGTTATCTATAATAGATAAATCATCATATAATTTTATCTTTTATCTTTTATCTAGATTAAAAAAAATCATCTTTATCTTGTCTAAAATAAATTTAAATATTTTTATCTCATTTTTATCTGGCTAATTTTGAAATTATATAAGCACTACTCGCAACAATCATAATCAAGTTGATCACGGGAGAAAGAATAAAAGAAAATGAGAGTCCTCGTGAAAAGGCACAAATTGCATGTATATTTTTTTTAATTCCTTGGATTAACGATTTGTTGTAGCTTAAAAATATAATTCGAGGGTTTTCAGCTTATATGCTTTAAGATCACAATTTGAGAAATGTAATAAATCCAAAATGTTAAACTAAAAATAAAAACTAAAGGAGCGAAACGGGAAATTTGAGATGAGCCATTCGCGAATAATTTGTGATCGATCCAAATCTTTCTGATTGAAAGAAGTATGAATGTTAATACTTTAAATCCGCGATAGCGTGTTTTGTTTGCGGTTTAAAACATGGAAAACTCGGTCACGCAAGGAAATGAAATACAAGAAGTTCGGGTTTAAGCGGACCTGCTGGAAAATTTAGTGCGAGGATCATTTGCGGACGTTAGCGGTTCGCTGAATCCAGGACTTCGGATGTGCTGTGTCCAAAAATAAGATCTCTCTGCCGAATTGATGATCAAAAATAACCGGTGTTTCGTATGAATGTCGCTGACAGAATTGCCTGCATCGACCAATTTACCGATCAGCAATTATTATTGGAGCTCATCTCTTAACCTTATGACATCAAAATAAATTTTACGACTTAACAACAATACAGATCAAATTTATTTGTGCACTTTGAGAAAACTTGATATTTTGTATACTATATTAAATTCTTGCACGAAAATTCATATTTTTATTTTTTATATATATTTTTTTTTTAATAAAAATGGAAGTCTGCAATTTAAAAAATAAAGAAATTTTTTTTTCTGCATTAAAGAATTGTATTATACTTATTGAGGATTATATTTTACTTAATATTTAATTTTGTTTTTAACTCAATTTGACAAATAAAATGTATTATTGTAAATTAAATGTGTTAAAAATTGTTAAAATATATTATTTGACACGTAATAAAAATACGATAAACTTTTTTCGTTAATTTGAGGTTTCTACGCTCTTATTGATATCCTACTAAATTATGACGTCAGAAGTAAGAAATTATATGGGTTTTACTTTTTCAATGTGACATGTTTGATAATATAAATTAGTATACACGAAAATTGTTCTCTTCCGTAAATACTTAGTTGTTTTGTTAATAAATAGCTGTAAATTTTGATTAAATTATTATAATGTTTATTTTCATTGCAAATGTAATACATATGCAGATAAATTATTAATGCAGGATAATAAAACAGAAAACTTTCGATATATTTTACTAATATAAATTTATTTATCTTGATGTATTTTGTAAGAAAAAAATTTATATATAATTTCTCGCTTCTGATATCATAATGCAATATGCTTACATAATAAATAGTAGTTACAAAATAACACAGACATCTTACCAATTTATTTAATGTTAAAATTAGCAAGGGTTGTATTATTTGATTTTACATCGATCATAAAGCATAAGCCATAAAGCACAAACAAAATTATATAATCCAAGTTTCAGTAAATACATATAAAATCGTAAATAAATAAATAGATTGTAATTATGTGTTAATTATTATCCTAAAAAAATAAAATAAAATAAATCTATAACTAGCAAAGTTCTCAAATTACGCAACATTGTGTAATCATCACACTTGAAATACAGGTATTAATACATAAATCGTGAAATACAAGTATTATAAAGATTCTTAAAAATTTAAACACAAATTTTTTATTGTTGTAATAATGTAATTATATGTATCTCACAAGTTTAATTTATCGAGATAACATTTTTAACATTTTGCTACTTCACTTTTTTAATATCCTACTCTTCAAAATTATCGGTACTTTGAAGAGAAGATGAAAATACGCTATTTCTTCGAAATCGATAAAATTAAGATCGCTTATTTTAGGGAATAATTGGGGACACATCAAACAAAAATTACCGGTAAATCGAAGAATTCTTAATACGATGCGGTTTCGATAATCAGATTCTGCTGCGAGAGCAGATTTTACTCTCCAATTGCACTTTTTTCTTTTCGTCGTTACACTGCGATCAATCGAGAGTCAAGAATCGCGAGCGAAGGATTGGCAGAAAAATAAAATTAATTCGAGGGTAGAGTGAGAGAACGATTTCTATGCTGGACCGAGTCGCGGACCACGGGAGACTGGCCCCGGCGCTGGATCATCGATTCAGGATGGGCGTCGCGACGCTCTCTCTCTCTTCTTCTTCTTCTTCTTCTCGGCGCCCGCATTTATATTTAACTTTGGCATCACTCGACATTCGACTTAGCCATGCCGCGTCTTTCACTCCTCGTCCTCCAACGAAATCGTTCTCGTTCTTATCTTCTGCGTTTTGTCTCGTTCTCTTCTCTTATTTTGACACGCGTCATCTTCTTTTTACCCTTTCCGCCTCGGAACGTGGAGGTGCTACGTTATTATCACCGACGAGCCAACAGCTGTCGTTCATCGATAATTTTGGTCGTTCATTACGAAAACGCGTCCAATAACACGGTTCAATAATGATCAAATCTGTCTTTGCAGACGTAATTTTGCAGGGCGACGACCCAATCACAGATGTTCTTTCATCGATAATTATAGCAAAGGTCTACTGTTTCAAGAAGTGATATTTACTTATAGTAGCAATTAATATGTTTCTTCTACAATCTTTCGATCATAGATTTTTACGAATATTATAATTACTTCTCTAATGCTTGGAATTAAATATATGTCTAAAAAAAAATTTTTTTAAATGCATAAAATGTATAAATTATAATATCAACAATTGCTTTATTGCACAATATTTTATTATTATTTCTATTTTTTGATTTTATATTGTAGAATATAGCGAAATTGTATTATATTAAAAAATTATATACATAATACCCAGAATATTTATAGAATATTTATAATAATTATTTTAACATTTTATAAATATCTATTATAAATATTTTATAAATATTTTTGGAGTCTTAGATTCAATAGATCATAAATATTAGAAAATATTTACGGTAATTATTATGGTAAATATTATAAATATATTTATTAAATCATTATGATACAGATTTTTTCAAGTTTATATTTTTTTAAATAAATACTCAGTAAGAAATCATAAGTTAAAAAACATCATTAACAATTTTTTAATCAAAAATTATCCTGAAGGGAAAGTTAAATTCCTCTCTGAGTAATAGTGCGATCTCGTAATTTTTTCGAGATCATAAGATTTCTGCGAAGTCGACAATTAGGGGTAGACGTATGCACATAACATTTAATTCGCTTCGGTAGTCAGTCTTTTTTTTCCCCTAAGTATTCATTCGCGTGGGGTTAATTATTTATTATGATGAAACGTTCTTGGTTCTCGTAATTTGAGTTTCGGCTCTTCACGATTTGACAGATATACGTTTACACGAATGTAAGCTATACGTTTACACGAATGTCATGTATAGTATCCCAACTTGTTGTCTCAAAATGTGATTCTCTATTAAAACTAAAATGGGTTCCTAAATTTAAAAAAAATTTAATTATTGTTTTAATGATTGACAATAATTAAAAATGCAAGAGCGGACTTCAATATTTCTATTATATACATAATATTAATTCTCTGAATTTCTGTTACGTACATAATTTTAATTTCCGAATTTCTATTTGTATATAATTTTAAGACGCTTAATTTCTATTTTCCTGTCTAATTGAAAAAATATAATCAAAACCACTCAATCGCAAAATTAATAAACAATTATTTACACGATACATATCGACTCGAAACGCAAACTTTTCAGGTCTACAGAATTTTTTTTATAGTAGATTTTTTGTAATTCAATATTGATTTTTTGAATTAAGAGAAATGTTCAAGCTTTAATTTAAGCTTTGATTCATAAACGATGAATTTCTACTACGTTATCGCAAATCAAAGATGTCAAAAAATTGTGCTAAAGTGTGGTAGCCTATTTTTTGCAAGTATATTTATTATATATATTCTCACCTCTGGATCGCAAGGTAATGGGTTAATAATAAAGAAGAGATGCTTTGATGTATATATGTATAAACACAACACAAATCACAATTCTAAAGACTTTATTAATCCGCAATACTTTATTCCATCGAAAACAGAGACAACGAATAAAAAATTTTACAAATCTTTGGAACTCGATATCGGATTCCAATTGTGTACAAGTTATAAAAAATTTATTAACAAAAAGAGATATGTAGTAATTTTCTTTTCTTTTAAATATGTGTATATGAGATAGATATACAAGTGTCTATGATGATTTAAAAACGTTTTAAATTTTCACGACAGAGATTTATTCTATTAATGATGTTAATAGTGACGTTAATCACAATCCTTTTAAATTACTCTTTGCTATAAAATGAATAAAAAAGTTATCTCAAGTGGCACTAATGCTATTCACATATTTAATACTCAACTGACAGCCTCTATATACAATTCAAGAAACGTAATAAATGTGTATAGGATATTTAGGCATTCAAATACACTTTTGTATGCAAACATAGTATACAATAGAAATTGCAATTTTTCTAGTATTCATAATTAGTAGGAACTATGTTTAAAGATATTTAAAGCGACTACGAAATTTCAAAATACGTCGAAATAAGTTTATTGATAAAATTATAGAACTGCGCGTTTAAATAATTAAAAAAATCGATTTTTTCATAGTTCAAATAGCATATTATCACTGAAGCGTGTAATTAACTTCTCAAACATTGCGATTATCGACTTCCATTACAGTAAATTACAGTCGTCACAGCGTATCGTGATCGAACGACATATATATTTATAAATATACTATAACAGAACATTATATTATACAAAACAACAAGCGTTTTTCGGCAGCGGCCGCTATTGACTCGATTTCTCTCTTGTAATGTATACCATTGATAACAATATATATATAAAACACAAGTTAACATCATTTTAAATTTAGCTAATTAACTAACGATTATCTTACATTGCTGTCAATTTCATTTACGAGTACAATAATAAAAAATTGGCTAGTTTGGTAGATAAAAAGGTACGAATATTCATTGTACATCGTTCATCGATTGACTTTCTTGTGCGTTTTCGTTTCCCACCTGCGTAGAATGAGGTAGTTCAGCTTTCGTAGCCAACTCTAACGTGTACATCCATCTAAAAATCACATAATATCGCATATATTATTTTTTCATTTGCAAAAATCTCGTATTATATGCATATTTTAGAAAATTAGGTTGACCTCTAAATGACTGAAAAAAGTCATTTCAAGAACAATTTTAGATTATGATGTTATGTTCTCCTCGAAACCTTACAATTTTTGCCTGATACATTTTTTTCTAAAACTAATTTATTTATTTTTAATTAATTATAACTTTCTAAAACTCGTCATTTTGATATATTTGACTGTCACTTTTAAAATAGGACAACTTAACCTAAACAAATATCTAATTTCTGTACTCACTTTTCTTTATCCTTCTGTGAGGAGGCTTGGAAATAGTAATATTTCCTAGAGTGATGCATCTTGAACGCTCTTATCCGATCTTTTATGTTCAAAGGATCCTCGTCGGGGAGTTTTGTACCTTCGGTGATCATGAAGCCTGGCATAGGGGTCGCTGTCATGGCCATGCTCTCCGATTCCGATTTGAACGAATACAGAACAAAATCGACGTGTAATGCGAACCATCGTTTTGTCCAGGGTTTACTGGCCTGCGTTTTCAGTAATAAATATCCAGATAATACTGATGGCGCGCTCGCTGATACCTGTAACAAACTTGGCACCGGTCCAGAGGGTGAAGATGGCGATTTGGTAAGTGGTTGGGTTAGCGCGGCATGGCATAATCTGCATACTCTCATATTCTTATTGTCTTCAAATAATAATTTCTGATTTGAGCATTTACTACAAACCACCTGGAAAGAAAGAACGCATTATAGATTATAGATTTTTAATTATTTTATTATTATTAACCCTTAACTGGTATCGTGGGGTCAAAAATGATCCAAGAGGTGTAAATAAAACTAGGGTTAATTTTCTTATAGTGATTTTAGAAAGTTGTGTAATTATTAACGACACATCAATAAATGACTGATATGATTGATTGATGTTTTTGGAAGAGTGTATTGTTTCATTTAATCAAATAAATAACCATAAAAATATAATATCCTACTAATGAGAAAAGTATTTTATGTTGGGGTCTCAAATGATCCCACGATACCAGTTAAGTCAGTGAATTTGACGATACCAGTTAAGGATTAAATAATGAAAGCGATATAACACTTTTATGTATATACAATACTTACTATTCCACAAGCCCGACAGTTGTGCTTTCGTTTCATCACAGAAAAAATAACTTCGCAAACCATGCACCTAGTTACATCGTCAGCTTTAACTAAAGAAGTCTTAACACTACCAGTTTTCAGACTGGCCTTGCGTCTCATAATCTCTTGCATCGTTTGGAACATAGCGTCCAACCACGCTGCTTTTTCCGCGGCGGCATGTGTATACAATTCAACGCTTTTATTTTCGTCCCTTATGTAAAAAGTATTTGCTGTTTCTAGATTGTCTCCTTCAACTACTTGTAAATTTTCCACCATAAATTTGGCTCTTAATCGGTACATAGGACCGGGTATCAGTCTTATTGAACAGAGTAGTAATAAATCGCTAAACTGAAAAAAGATAATAAAACATTTATTTAACAAATTAAAAAACAAAAAAGAGGAAAAATAATTTCACGTATATTTTGTGAATATAATTAATTATTACCAAAATAGATGTCTCTCTTGATGATCGCCACTACGTGCTGAAATTTTCACTATACGTCCTTCTTTTACTAATTCGCGAGTCGCACTGACTAGATCAGTTGCATCATATATACTCTCTTGGATTTCTAAGAGTTTCTTAAATTTATCGATTTTTTTCATCGCCTCGTTCGTATGATTCGCTGCAGTGGATACCAATTCTAGAGCTTCTGAAATTTTTAACATACAATTTTTTGAATTACAAAATTATAATTTACCTAAATATGTTAGAAATATGTAATTACATAAACATAAATTTACTCACTCTTTGTATCTTCATAATCTGGATTATCCTCAGTGAGATTTCGTAAATAATCCTTAAGAAGCAATTCATATCGCGGTAGCCTCTGTATTGGACTCAACATGTGATGAGCTAGTGACAATTTAGCGCATTCATCGAGCTTTTGTATCTCGTTAATAATCGCAGCAAATTTGGGCACTTTGTTTTGCAGCGTGCTTATCAGATTCATGGCGTAATCAAAGTTTTTTACATATTCTGTATACATTTTGAGGAATGGCGCGAAATTTTTCATTATATCACCGATTTTCGGATTCGAATTCCAACATTGCATTCTCTCTTCGAGTTGCGGTAATAGAAAATCATTGTGAAATTTATAAATGGATTTAATATTGGAAAACATGTGTTGGACAGTTTTCTGGAGGAAACATCGGATGTGCTCTGTTCTCTTGATCGACCCTGAATTGAAACACTTGGTCGATCAGATGCAGAACGTTCACGTAATTTTCTCTGTTCCTAGCAGTTCTTGCGCCACGTGCAACGCTTTCTTACGCTTCGAATCAGGGGAATCTTTCTTCGTAAGCACTTTAGACTGAGATATCGATTCGTCCGTATGGTCCGCCACTATGGCAGAGTCGGTCTCTGAAGATCTCGTTTCTTCTGACTCTTCCTCGCTTTCGGATTCGCTTACTGCATATGTATCTAATGTATATTGGTGAGACCTCCTCTCTGAAGCTACATACCTGTAATTATTTTTTTTTTAAATAAATGCTTTAAACATTTTCAAGTCAAATATATATATATATTTACAGTGTTTTCCCTCCCAGGTAGCACAACATATCCCAAAAATATTCAGAAGATGTCCAGAGGACATTCCTCAGGATGTTCTCTGAACGTCTTCAGTATATGTGTGCTGTTAGAGTTTGTTGTATCAAAGCTACATTACACCCTAATAGCACACCATATTCGAAAGACATTCAGAGATATCCAGAGGATATTCAGAGAACATTCGAACATCCTTAGAATGAATATAATTTGTAACAGCTCTTTAGAAACTTTTAATCTACAAATAAAAAGGCGATAAGAGCTAATTAAGTTCTATACTAGAAATATATTTATGAAAAGATTTAACAGAAATAAATTCGTTCGTACGTTTCGGTTGTCTTTTTCAACCTTCTTTAGCGCATCAATTAAAATTACAGATTAGTAGAAATTAACAATAAATTATTCATCAAAGACTAAAACATTTAATAGAAAAACGAAATATTCTTACAAACAGAATGACCAAAATGTAAAAGTCTCGTATTTTTGCATCCCATTTTTACCGACACTCACTGAACAATATAGAAACATCATTAATGATATGAATGTTAAACTCTCTTTTTATAGTCTTAACAAATTGAATATATCAAGTACACAAAGATCCTATTCCTAAGGTTTCAAACACCAATGTGATATATAAGATAGACTGTAAAGAGTGCAATGCATCGTATGTTGTCAGACTCTACTAGAATATCTGAACATCGATCTAATATACACAGAAACGTAAAAAATCTGTAATCACTGACCATAGATTAAAACATAATCATGAATTTAGTTGAGACGATGTAGAAATACTTGACAAAGAATCACAATATAACAAAAGATTGATTTCAGAGATGATATTCATAAAAAGGCAAAATAACAGTCTTAATTTAAAAACAGATATTGATGGCTTGCCAGTAATTTATGACGATATAATACATAGACTACCTAAAATATCAAAGTAAAAAACATAAACAACTAACTATTTTCTCCATTGTGTGGTCGTCTTTCTGAGAGATAAAAATCATTCGTTATTGTAACCTCGAGCAATCAACATCTGAAAGCCTTTACGTCACAATATAATATCTTACTCGATTTAATTGTAAGTCTATTTTTTTATTAATTTACTTATCTTTCAATGTTAATTTTTCGTACAATGATTTTATAGACATATTAACAACCGCTGTTATCGAGATTCGCAACCGACCTCCTAACTCAACAATTAGCGAAAGATCTGTTTCGCGACAATTACATACATAGAATGACGATTCGAGGAATAGAATATATAAAAATGCTCAGTTTAAAATGCGTTGATTTCGTTATTAAAAATAGCTTGACGTAGTTTTATGCGAATAACTGTGTTTCTGTTATAGTTTTATTATATTGACAGTAATGAATAATTGATTGTTTATTTCTATTCATCTTTAATTTTAAATGATGCGCTGAAGAAGGTTGAAAAAGGCAACCGAAATGTTCGAATTTCTTTCTGTCTAATATTTTATGTTATAAATCTTTTTCCACAAATAAATATTAATGAAAGCATTTAATTAGCTCTTATTGCCTTTTATATATATATTCAAATAATATATTTTTAATATAATAAATAATAAATATTACATGAAATAAATACAAATAAATATTTAATATTAAAAAACGCTTCCTGTATGTAATTATACATTTTAATAATAATAGGCTTTAGCATTACAAAAACGAAAATGTAACGAAAAAGTAACGAATCGTTACTTTTTGAGTAACGTAACGGTAACGCGCGCGTTACTTTTTACAAAAAGTAACGGTAACAGTAACGCGTTAATTTTATAGAGTAACGGTCGCAATTCTGTATATATATGTATATATATATGTATATATATATATATATATATATATAATATATTAATTTTTTTACCAAAGTAAATAGCTTTCTTTGAGGAAGCAAAAAAACCGAAAAATTTTATTAAAATTAAATTAAATCTGGTTGGAGTTCCGCCTCAATAACCGAGATTGCTGACTTTCTTTTCACTTTACACGTCCTAAAAGCGTGATTCCCCTCGACACCCATCCCGAGAACTTGGGTGGACCGAGAAGCTCAGTCTTCAGGAACCGGGGACCGGAAATACAAAATACTCGAAATTCCGATCTGTTTACAAGGTTCAGTTCGCAACTGATAGCGAAACGGAGCACTCGTTTCAAGGCGAATCGCGTGCGCAATTCTTAACAGGCGTAATTTATTGTCTATAAATTAAAGTAAAGTTCTTAAACAAAACTGTGCGTGAACACTTTGACTATCCTTCCATCCCTGAACTCTCAAAATTCGGCGAAGTCTAACCGGGAGAAGACTCAGTTTCTCCGGGCGATATCCTGAAAAAGCACATGGTCCTTCGAGCCGGATATCGATGCGCGGGTGATAGGATATTACCATTTCTTAATTTCTTATACATCGTATCTACGAGGTGTCTCTAGTGCTCCGTATTCGTCGTATCTACGGGGTGTTTCTCGTGTTTCGTGCTGGCCATATCTATCGGGTGTCGACATTGAACGTGTCGCGATAACGGTACGTCTACTTGTTCTCAGCGTACGTCATCAACCAGTGGCCACGTTCCAACGGGTGTCACGAGTGATTCAAATACTACAACACTTCGAAGTTTCCTGTACACTAAAAAGGACGGAACGACAACTTTATCAACAGCGCAAAAATGGGTAAAGCACTTAATCAACAATTAAACCAAAAGAAATACATAGATAGGTTCTGGGAAAATCTGCTCAAGGTTAATAAAGAAAAGCTAACTAAAGCATATTTTAAGGCAAGACTCGAATTACTAGAATCCTACTGAACAAGCTTTTTTGAGAATTATCTCTACCTTATGTCATTCGATAAAGTGACTGAAAAGGATTACGTCAAACTGGATTTGTTTCGTCTACCGAAGAAAATTACTTGCTAATAAAATCTAAAATCACAGAACGCCTGGAGAAATTTGACGTTGGGAATGTATCCACCGGAACTTCAAACGTGAGCAGCATTATTAAGCAGATACAATTACCTAAAATAAACCTGCCTACCTTTTCCGGTGATTAATTGGAATGGGAAGGATTCCAAGATCTTTTTACTTCACTGGTACATAATGCAGAAAGGCTCAAAAACTTCAATATCTAAAGGCCAACCTTACGGGAGAAGCAGCAGCTGTAATTACCAATATGGACATTTCTACAACAGGATATGCTACGGCGTGGGAGGAGCTTAATACTAGATACGACAACAAACGAGTGCTGTTAGCCACGCATATGTGAACAGTGCTCTCTGCACCACCAGTCTCCAAGGCGTCTGCGCCAGAAATTAAACGGCTCATAAAGACAATAAATCAAGCGTCTCGTTCGTTCAAGGTTTTGAAGCGACCTGTCGAACAATGGGATGATTGGTTCGTACATCTATTAATCGAGAAACTCGACTCATCCACGAGACTCTTATGGGAATCATCCTTGAATTCAAGCCAAACATTTCTAACCTTTAAGGAATTGCTTGATTTCCTTCAAACCAGAGCTCGAGCATTGGAGACTGCAGAAATCAGAACGCAAACGGCGTCATCCGCCCACGCAAACAAACCGAAGAGCTCTAAACAAACGGGTATAGCATCTCATGCAACTTCTACTGCATCAGATACAACGAATACACGGAAACCGTGTCCCCTATGCAACGAGCAACATTCGATACGATCGTGCGACAAATTCAAAACCTACAAACTAGAGCAACGCCGGAATTATGTGCGTAAGAAGCGCATCTGTTATAATTGTTTAGGTCTGAATCATCCGGTTACTAGCTGCCCATCCAACAATCGATGCAGATATTGTCGGGAAAAGCATCATACTTTGCTACATGGCTCAGAGGGGCCTCAAACAAAGCCTGAGTTGACAAACACGGCAACAACAAGCGGGGGAAGCGTAACACCTACGGAAACTAAGCCAGCCGCCGCTGAAGACAATAAAATTACAGCCCTCGCAGCAACTACAAATAACCATGTTCTCCTGGCCACCGCGAGGATCATGCTAATTGACGAATCGGGTCGCTCGATTACCGCAAGAGCATTGCTAGACTCAGGTTCTGAGGCTTCATTTGTTACAGAGAGAATGATTAAGCTATTGAGATTACCACGACGCCGGGTAGATATCGCGGTTACCGGACTACAAGGTACATCAACTGGCACCGTGTCGCACACCGTGTCTCTTACGATGGCTTCTTATGGATCTTCATCGAGAAGAGTCGCAATACCACGTGTCTTGGTGCTATCAAGATTCATCTCGCTTACACCAGGAAAGTGAGTTTTAGTAGGAAATTGGAAGCATCTGGACGGACTTAATCTAGCCGATCCGGACTACAAAAAACCAGTCCAAGTTGATGTAATATTGAGAGCAGATGTTTATGGCATGCTTCTTGAAAATGGTCTGCGTCAAGGACCCCCAAGAGTGCCGAATGCACATATGACAATCTTTGGATGGGTATTGATGAGAGCTATCATCACTTCACAGGAAAACATCGACGCTCCCATCTCCGTGCATTATGCTATTACCCAATCGAATATACAAGATGATCTGAGACGATTATGGGAGCTTGAGGATGTCCCAGTCAAACGGATTCTCACATCAGAAGAGTCCTACTGTGAGGACTTTACTTCCAGAAAACTCACTATCGCGATGAGCAAGATTGTTACGTGGTACATCTTCCTCAAAGAGAAGACATTTCTATTACTCTCGGAAGTTCACGCCCGGGTGCACTTCAGATGCTCCTACGCATGGAACATAAGTTATCAAAGGACAAGTCACTCGAGAAAAAATACAATGAATTCATGACAGCTTACAAGGACTTAGGACATATGGAATTAGTCCCGGTACAGGCAATCACTAGGAAGGAGTGCTATTACATGCCCCATCATGCCGTTACCAAGCCGGCCGACCCAGACGGCAAGATACGAGTAGTCTTTAATGCCTCCTGTAGCACGACAACTGGGGTATCTTTAAACGATAAGCTGCTCTCAGGGCCAAAATTGTATTCAGAATTATGGCTAATTCTAACCAAATGGCGTTTGTTTCAGTTTGTCTTTACTACAGATTTAGTGAAAATGTTTAGGCAAATCAGGATTCACCATAAAGATGCCAACCTACAACGGGTTCTATGGCGGACGGAGCCATCAATGGAAGTACAGAACTTCCGACTCAAGACTGTTACCTATGGAACAACTTCGGCACCGTACCTCGCCATCCGCACACTTCTTCAACTGGCACAGGACGAGGGAGAAATGTTTCCACTGGGAGCAAAGGCCATTCGGACTAATACATATATCGACATACTGGCGGGATCTGACACCTTGGATCAGACTCTAGAGCTCAAAGCTCAACTAGTTCAGCTGTTAGCTTCGAGGGGATTTCAACTGAGTAAGTGGGCCAGTAATCATAATGCTCTTGCGTCCGAGGAAGACCAGGAAGACAGACTAATAACGGAAGGCCTAAGCACGCTGGGTATACTATGGTCCCCTCAAGAAGATACAATAGCGATAAGAGCAGTGCCACCACTTACGCAGAATACTGACTACACCAAGAGATTAGTCCTGTCTATTATCGCGAGATCCTACGATCCGCTAGGTTTGGCAGCGCCCGCGTTGGTGGCTGCAAAAAAACTGCTACAGGATTTGTGGATGGCTGGGCTGGAATGGGATCAATCTCTTTCTGAACCTCTACTACGTCAATAGCAAAATTTTGCTACCTCCTAACCGTTAGTAAACGAACTCTCTGTACCAAGGTGGACAGGCTTAACGGACGAGGCAATAGTGGAGCTTCACGGATTTTCAGACGCGTCTAGCCGTGCCTATGCAGCGGCAGTTTACCTCCAATCAAGGCAAGCATCGGGTCAGATAACCAGTAAATTTGCTTGTTGCGAAAACAAAGCTCCGGTCAAAACGATCTCCATACCGCGACTCGAATTGTGCGCAGCCCTTCTTCTAGCACGTTTATTGAATGCTATAGTTCAAGGCCTAGAACTACAAAACAGTCCGAGTCATGCCTGGACAAACTCAATGGTGGTACTTGCTTGGCTACGCGCCCACCCGTCACGGTGGAAACAGTTTGTAGCTATCAGAGTCGATAAGATACAGAATCTTGTGCCACCAGAAAAATGGCACTTCGTTTCGACAAACGAAAATCCGGCAGACATAGCCACACGAGATATCACCCTGAATCAGCTGAAGACCTGCAGTCTCTGATGGAGAGGTCCAGACTGGCTCTCAGCATCATTCTACACTTGGAAAATGGAAGATATAAAGCCGACTGGATTGAACGAAGAGGAGAAAAAAGCTCGGCCAATACTCTTGCTCGCAGCCGTATCGGAACCCATGGAAGACAATGCAATATTATTACAATTTCCCTCTTTCTCACGACTCATAAGAATCTCTGCTTTCTGTCTTAAATTTTACAGACAGCTACACAGCAAGGAACACGCTGCGACTGCTCAACTCTCGGCTCAAGAATTGAAGGACTGCCGACTGCGGTGGATGCGCATCGCCCAACAAAAGGACTTCCCTGAAGAAATCAAGCGTCTTTCTCAAAGGCAGTCAATTCCTCCAGGATCGCCGCTGTGTCAGTTAAGACCTTTCTTAGACCAAGAAGATTTATTACGGGTGGGAGGGCAACTGCAACATGCCTTGATAACATATGAGGAGAAACATTCTATAATTTTGGCTAAAATCAATTACCTAACATTGCTTCTAGTTCGTGAAACTCATGCAAAGTCGCTTTACGCCGGACCACAACTAACACGCAGTATATTGCTGCGACGGTATTGGATTATTCATGCAAATTCACTAATCAGATTGGTAATACATCAATGTGTTAGATGTACTCGTTTTTGAGCAGAAACAGCGCAACAACAAATGGAACAGTTACTTATAGCGCGAATTCAACCAAACCGACTCTTCTACAAATCAGGAGTCGATTGTGCAGGCCCATTGCAAATACGTACAACAAAAGGACAAGGGCATAAATCGTACAAAGGATAATATGCCTCTTTGTGTGCATGTCCACGAGGGCCAATCACTTAGAGCCTGTATCCGACTTATCTACAGCATCCTTTTTAGCAGCCTTTAAGAGATTTGTGGCACGACGAGGACATTGCACTCATCTAATGAGTGATAATGGCACGAATTTCTGAGACGCCGAACAAGAGCTTAAGACAATATTTGCGACTGCCATGGATTTCTACAAAGAATGTAGAGCGCAACTGGCCAACAACGATACCAAGTAGACGTTTATACCGCCGTCCGCGCCCCACTTTGGAGGAATCTGGGAGGCCGGTGTTAAAGCAGTTAAGCATCATCTCAGACGGGTTATTGGAGAGCACACTTTAACCTTCGAGGAGTTATCAACACTGCTCTGCTAAATTGAAGCATGCCTCAATTCACGGACGCTTTATCCTCTAAGCAACGACCCATCAGATCTAGTAGCTTTAACACCCGGCCATTTGCTGATAGGCGAAACCCCAGTCAACGTCCCAGAAGCTTCACACGGCGCGGAAAATTCAGGTAACATTATATCTCGTTGGACTTTCATTTCTAATATGCGCGATCACTTTTAGTACAGATGGTCAGCCGAATATTTACATCACCTGCAACAACTTCCAAAATGACGAAAGCGGTCGGAGAATCTAGCGGTGGGCTCGTTGGTTCTGATAAAGGATGAACTACAGCCACCAACCAAATGGGCTTTAGCTCGAATCACTGCCTTATGTCCAGGAGCAGATGGATTAATACGCGTCGTGCATCTAAAAACGGCGACTACTAATTTAATACGGCCGATAACTAAAATCTGTCCGCTACCTATACCAATATTAGATGAGCATCCTAGAGATCCGTCGCATTAAACGGGAACGGCTCCGGGTACATTCTGGCAAGGCGAGCGGCTCTTTATTCCTAATCAGGGACATCGTTGTTAAACCAATTGATACTTAATTTTGTCTCAGACGAGACGGGCGGTATGGTTGGAATTCCGCCTCAATAACCCGGATTGCTTACTTTCTTTTCACTTTACACGTCCAAGAAGCGTGATTTCTCTCGACATCCGTCCGGACTTGGGTGGGCCGAGAAGCTCGGTCTTCGGGAACCGGGGACCGGGGATACAAAATACTCGAAATTCCGATCTGTTTACAAGGTTCAGTTCGCAACTGATAGCGAAACGGAGCACTCGTCTCAAGGCAAATTGCGTGCACAATTCTTAACAGGCGTAATTTATTATCTATAAAATAAAGTGAAGTTCTTAAACAAAACTGTGTGTGAACACTTTGACTATCCTTCCATCCGCAATCTCTGAACTCTCAAAATTCGGCGAAGTCTAACCGGGAGAAGACTCAGTTTCTCCGGGCGATATCCCGAAAAAGCACATGGTCTTTCGAACCGGAATCAAATAGTAAAAAGAGACGTTAATATATATATATATATATATATATATATATATATATATATACAGGGTGTCCGGTATCTAATGGACCAACGATTACAAATGAATTCTTTGGTCAATTTGGGAACGATTTTTCCTCAGCGAAAATGTCGAAAAAGGTCATCATTTTTTACAACTTTCCAATATTTGTCATTATGTATCTTTATAACTAAAGCCTCAAATTAAAATTTTATTATAATAAACTCTACCTGAAATTAACTGAAGAATGTAATTATGTTAGACTTTTAACTCCAAAACGTTTGGTTTTCAAAAAACCCATTTTTTTCAATTGCTTATAACTCGAAAATTATTGACTTCTTAACATTTTTGCTAAGGAAAAATCGTCTCCAAATTGGCCAGAGAATCCGCCCTTAATCATTGGTCCGTTAGTTACCGGACACCCTGTATATATATATATATATATATATATATATATATATATTTTAACGTCTCTTTTTATTATTTGATTTAATTTAATTTTAATAAAATTTTTCGGTTTTTTTTGCTTCCTCAGAGGAAGCTATTTGCTTTGGTAAAAACATTTATTTTTCAGATTTCTGTACTAATGTGTTTAAAATGTTCCTTAACATAGAAAAATCACATTTTTAAAAAATGGATATGTATATACGGATGTATGTGCACACCCACATTTGTGTTTAGATTCTAAATATCTCAAAAATTATTTGACTTGCAACGCTCTAATTTGGCATACAAGTAAAGTTAAATTACACTTTTATTTACTGTAATTTCTAGACAAATTCATAAAATATTTTATTTTTATAAAATTATGAATTTTTTTAGAAATGTCCGTGGTTGCTCTAACTTTTATGAATTTCAAAATATCTTGATAAATTTTTTTTAAATAGACTATTATCAAAGAATGGTTGGTATTGAATTTGACGAAATTCGGTAAAAGGGTTCATTTTTTAATTTAATTTTTTTAAAAATGACTTGTTGCTCTAACTTTTATAAAACTTTAAGATATGGGGATAAATGTTTTTACATGAATACATTATCATTTTAAGAAGGTTTGGTATTGAGTTTGGCGATGATTTGTGAAAGAGTTTATTTTTTTATGAAATTTTAAATTGTTAAGAAATATGTATTTTTATTTTTCGCAAATTTTGAAATATTAAGCAAATTTTTTTACATAAATAAAGAATAATTAAAAGATATTTGGTGTTGAATTTAACATGGATCGGTGAATTATAAAATTTTGAATTTTCAAAAAAAATAAAAATTTTTAAATTTTACGAAATAAATATAGGAAAATGAGTACATACATATACACACATACACAAACATCTATCTAACTTTTAAAAAATTGTACTTTATGTAAAAAAGTGAAAATTTGAACTTTATTATAAAATTATCAGTTTTTAAAAAATTTTTTCTTAATAAATTAAATATAAAAAATACCGAACATTTAAAAAGCTATATTTTATAATTACACATTCTTTTTACTTATCTAGAGCTTATTATTTCCGTAATTAAGATGATTTAAAAAAAATTAAAATAAAAAAAGTTTGAGCAAATTGAAATTTGCACATTGCTTTTTCGCCATATTAATTCAATTATGGCTTCCTCATAAAGGAAGCTTAACTTACGCATTGATTGATCAAAATTTAATTTTACTCATTAAGATTCTTTTATGAGAAAGGGATAATTGAAAAAGATAATAATTTTGCTTCCTCATAGAGGAATCTTAATGAGCGAAATTAAATTTTGATCAATCATTGTGCAAGTTATTTTGTGTAGCATTTATCGCTACAGTTTTAAAAATTACAAATATGAAGAGATTTGTAATTAAAAAATATGGTAAAAGTTTACAAAAACGAATCCATTTCCATGAGCTTAACTTTGACATATGTTTTGAAGCACATCTAACCCTTGAAGCAGATCTGACCCATACAGTACAAAATATTTTTGAAATCTTTTAAAAATATTTATTACAAAATAAAATGATTCTCGAAAATATTTTTAAAATTTTTCTATGTCCGCTTTTTCATGTTTAAAAAATATTTTTAGAAATATTTTTGAATATAGATTTAAACTAATATTTCAAAAATATGTATCAAATATTTAAGAAAATATCTGAGCGATAAAGAAGAACATTTTTTAAAATATTTTAAAAGTTTTTTAAAATATTCTAAAAAATGTTATCACAAAAAATTTTTTAATTATTTCAAAATGTTTCTAAAACCATTTTAAAATGTTTTTATGCAATATTTTATAGAAATATTTAGAAATATTTTTTGAAAACATTTATAATATTTTGTGCTATATGAGGAGTAAGTATACATATATAGTTATTCAGATCATGTGCTTATACATATATCAAAAGATATACATCAGATATATATCAAAAGATTTTAAACATCGCTTTTTTTTATTTAACAAATTATTAACAAAAAAATTTACTAAATAAAATATATTTTTTTTTACATTTAACAGAGCAAGATTCATTTAATTATGTCTAGTAATTCTATATAGTATGTCCTGGCCCAAGTGTTCAATTAACTATATATAAATAAATAAAGCTAAACATGCAATTTATAAAATATATGGTATCTAAAAAATTACATATAATTTATAGAAATTTTTTTATTAATAACTTTTAAAAAAGAGTGACTCAAAATCTTTTATCATACTCAGAACAGCACAATCTTATTGATAACATGTTAAGATCAATGTCATTGAAACTGGTTCTGTATTTGTAAATTTTTACAAATATATATATATATATATATATATATATATAAACGTTAATTTAACTAAATATAACATTAGTGTAACTAACTAATTGCAAATATTATTGTAATTGTTTTTTTGAATATAATTACAATGTATATATAAAATATATATTGTTAATTTTATTTTATTTTATGTACATTGAAATAAAAACTTAACAGAAACTGTGGGGAGGTCGATTTACCGAAAATATTGATTCTGATTTTCATAATTTAAATGCATCAATTCATCTCGATAAACGACTGTATGCCGAGGATATACAGGTAAATATAATTGAAATATGCTACTATATGTATATAAAAATGATTTATTAATATATAAATTATCAATTTATCTTAATTATTAATTACACTTTAATAAATAATTATAATAAAATATCTTTACGTTATTTAAAGTACTATAATTTACTCACGGTGCTTTATATTATTGAAAAAGAAAAATATGCAACATATTTATAATATATTAATAGCTCTTTGTGACAAGTATTTTTCACGTTTCATGAAAAATAGTACACTGTTTTAAATAATTGAATTTAAAATAATATATTAATTGTTTTTAGGGAAGCGTAGCTTATGCACGCGCTCTTTGCAAGGCAAAACTTATCTCACAAGAAGAGATGCAAGCTATAAAAACAACTTTCAAACAGGTACGCTTATTTATTATATTATTTACTGTAAAAAAATTAATTTTACACACACACAAGATTTCAGTCTAAGTGACGCAGTCGATTATTTTAAAAATAAAACATTTTTGGGAAAAATGTTCTCTAAAAATTAGAAGATTTTGAGAAAGACATAATATTATAATCTAAAATTGCCTCTGACATTCTCAAAAATTATATTTAGAGATTAACAGTTTTCTTAAACAGAAATACTCCATTTTTTCTATATAAATTAATTCCTAATAATATTCGGCATAAGAAGTTATATAAGAATAAGATGACCAAAAAATGGATAGTTTACGAGATATATCATACTTTATTTTAACATAATCTAATATATGAACTATAAAATATTCATTTTCCGATCTTAAAATACTATTAAGCACAAAATAATGAAAGGATCAATTTATTTTATAAAGAAAACATAGTTATTTAAAAAGAAATATGTATAGCAGCTGATTGCAATTTTAAAATTATGCCATATTTTTATGATACGCAATATGCACATCGATGGAAAAACAATTATAAAAAAATTGTATAACCAGAGAACAAAAAAGTTGTTACGAAAAAATTATATAGTCTGAAAACAGAATTTCAAATATATATCCCAGACAGCACACAATATTTATGATAAAGATTTGTTACGTCCAGACTCAAGTAAAGAAGAATCAAAGGAAGAACGTAACTACTGTTTTCTCAAACGACGCCGAACGGTGCATCTGTTCGAACCGAACGAACTCGTCTAGGCCTAAATAGATCAACAACCGCGAAGTTCGCTCTTGCTTTATTTAAAGGGCTGTTCGTTCGATGATCCTTTTTCGGCAAGAGAATTTAATCTCTTTTGCTCGGGATGGGACCTTGTGCGATTATTGGATTGGAAAAGGAATAAGCAGTGGGGTTTTATTTAAATACGTGCAAATTCATATGTTACGTCCAAACTCAAGAAAGGAAGAGTCATAGGAAGGACGTAACTACTGTTTTTGTCGAACGACGCCGAACGGTGCGTCTGTCCGACTCAAACGAACGTGTGAAGGCCCAAATAGGTCAATGACCGAGCAGGTCGCTATTATTCTATTTAAAAGGGCTGTTCGTCGGAAGTCCCTTTTCGGCAAAAGAATTTAATCTTTTTTGCTCGGGATGGGACCTTGTGCGACTTTTGGTTTGGAAAGGAATGTGTTAGGATATCTCCGAAAGTGTGTGCGTCGGCACTCGTTGCGCAGCCACGTGTCGTTTTTCCTTCTATTCGCTCAGCGTATAGATGATCAAAAGGGGAATTACTCCAATCCACTTTTAAATAGAGTCACAAAGTTTTATTTAAACATCAATTCGCGCAATTGTTCTTAACGCTTAACACAATTATTCGCTCTATTAAACTAACAATAAGTAATACAATAATCTTTGGAAAACGAGACTCACTCGCGTGTTTATGGTTTCGGAGCAGAGAACGGAATGCTCCCTACTCCGGCCTATGTCGAATTTCTCGCTCTCGATCGCGCGGGATGGAGATCTGATAACTGGCGACCTCGAGCGTCGATAATCGATAAGCTCGGGACGCTTTGTTTTAGAAATTCGTTAGCGAATCTCCAAACAGAACGAGAGTGGGGTTTTTATTTATTTCAATTGAATAAGTCCAAATTGATAGATAGAATAATTATTTATTATTATTTTCATTGTCAAATTTACGACCAGATCACGAAACAAAGATATTCATACATTAAAATATACTTAAATTCTACTCAAATATACATAACAGTGTGAGTGCATGGGTGTGTGTGTGTGTGTATAGATTCTCGCGGGTGTTATATTAGTCCGGAGGTCATCAATCGGGACTGGTGAGCAGTGTTAAAATATTTTAGGGTCCCGATTGGTTAATACAAATTATTTTTATCGATAATAAATACATTATGTGTAAGTGTGTGTGTGGAGGGTCATGGGGAATCGGAAGTTTTGGAGGAGAAAAGAGAAAGGTGAAAATAATTTTCGGGAACTCCTTTTTTTATATATATAAGAATATATATATATATATATATATATATATATTTTACTCCATTTTATTTCTTAGTTCGCTCAGTCAGACTTACCAATAGTTTGAGAGTAAGAGGAGAAACCACGGATTACTCTGCTAACGCGGAGAATTCAGAGTGATTTCGAGAGAGAGGGAAAAGTAGAAGAAAATCACGGATTGCTCTGGATATCGATTCTGTAACTTTTTTTAAAGTGAAAAATTCTCGCCAATCACGCATTGATTTTAAAATAAAATTGATGTACGATTGGCAGAAATTTTTCACTTTTCACGTTTTCACTTTAGAAAAAGTTACAGAATCGATATCCTGCTATTGCAGGGAAACCAGAGTGATTTTGAGAGAGGAAAGGATAGAAGAAAATCACGGATTGCTCTGCTATTGCAGAGAATCCAGAGTGATCTTCGAAAGAGAGAGAGAGACAAGAAACCACGGATTACTCTGCTAACACGGGAAATCCAGAGTGATTTTGAGAGAGGAAAGGATAGAAGAAAATCACAGATTGCTCTGCTATTGCAGAGAATCCAGAGTGATGTTTGCGCAATCTATAAAGCGAAATTATAATATGTAAGTTTATTTTTTATTTAAGTTTTGCGCTCCTTTTACAAGTTCTAATATATACCGAGAGTTAGCCTTCGCGAGTATTGTTTTTGTTTCTTGCTTATATTTTGATTTGTGCTCGCGGGTCTCTCCCTACATTCTTACTGTACGCCCGCTCTTTTCCGTTTGGGTTGCCGAATAAAGCAGACGTTTATACAGTACTTAACGAAGTAATATTTATTAACTATCCATCAGGTTATGGGCCCAGTACGTACTAATAAAAAATAATTGAGGAGAAACATGCAAAAAACACTCGTGAAATAAAGTCAGTTAGTTCTTTTATACGGATAATAAAATACGACACGTGGTAGAAGAAAAGTGTGTGCACGTGGTTATCGATCAATTCAATCCAATAATGGAGTCAACCGGTGCTGTAGGCATCGCGAGAATAGAAAAACTGTTAGGAAGAGAAAATTTCTTAATGTGGAAATTTGCAATGCAAGCATTACTAAAGAGTGAGGAGCTGTGGGGCAGCCAAGGCGTAGCTGCGGACATACAAAACGTAAGAAAAATGGCGAAGGCAAGAGGATATCTAATTCTTTCTGTGGATAAATGAAATTATAGTTATGTACAAAAATGTTTGACTGCAAAGGAAATTTGGATGAAGTAAACAGAAACATTTGACAATTGAGGACAGCGGATTAATTCGCAAGGTGAGCCTGCTGCGATCTCTTACTTCAACTAAATTAAATGAATGTAAGAATGTAGAGAAGTACGTGTATAAAATCTCTAACGCAGCACATCAGTTAAAAAGAATAAGTTTTACCGTCCCTGAAGAAATAATAGGTGCTTTAATGCTGTCAGGACTTCCTGAAGAATTCCAAACCTTGATAATGGGCTGATAATGGGTTTTCTAAACCCATGATAATGGGCTTAGAAAACTCAGGAACGACTAACCTGATCAAAATTAAGTTGTTGCAAGAAATCAAAGTTCTGGAGACCGTGCAAAATGAATCTGAAGAAGCGGCATTTCTTGCTAAGAATCAAAAAGCAGGAATGAAATGGCAAAACAAGGCGTGTAAGTGTTTCAACTGTGGCAAACTGGGGTAATTTGCCGCGAAATGCAGGTTCAAAAATAAACAAAAAGAAGGTGAAAACTCAGATAATTCTAAAAGGCTTTTCTCGCGATGGCGGCTGCAAATAGCATAAAAGATTACTGATATATGAATTCTTGCGCGTCGACGCACATAACGAAAAAAGGAACTGGCTCGAAAATGATGATGTTAGTGACGCTACAATTATGGCAGCGAATAGCCAGAGTCTAAAAGAAATGGCAAAAGGTTCAATAAATCTCAAAGTAAGCTACAAAAGAAAAGATGACCGTATCAAGGTCGAAGAAGTAATGTACGTGCCGGAGATAGCAGCTAATATCTTATCGGTCAGTAAAATCACGGATAAAGGATACCAAGTAAATTTCGACAACAGAGGATTTGTCGTGGTAGACAAGAAAACAAAACAGATAGCGGCCAAAGGACACCGACAGACGATGTTTGTGAATAGGACGAGTGAGCTAATATGGCATCAAAGGTTGGGACATTTGAATCAGAAATCTATGTTGAAATTCAAAGCGCAACCGGCTTACGGACTATTTAAAATAGAAGTAAGGAAATATGCGAGGTATGCATCGCGGATAAGCAAAACAGATCATCTTTTTATGCAAGCGGTAAAAGAGCGAAAAAATTGTTAGATTTAATATATTCCGATTTATGCCGGGCCCCATGTCGGTCGATTCAATAGACGGGACTAAATATTTTATTACATTTATTAATGATCATTCGTGAAAGATGTTTGTATATTTTATTAAAAATAAGAGCGATGCATGCAATAAATTTAAAGAGTTAAAATCTTTAGTTAAGAATCAAACCGGGCATAAAATAAAAATATTGCGTACAGACAATGGTAAAGAATATATGAGTAATGAATTTATCGAAATACTTTGGTATAAAAATTTTGGTATAAAACAGCAAACTACTATTCCATATAATCCATCTGTGGGATATAGTGAAAATATGAAAAAATATTGCTTAATTAATCCAAAAACTGGTAAGATAACGTGATGTCATTTTTTTAGAAAATAAATTTTTAAGAAATCTTGACCAAGATCAAAAGGGGGAAACAATAGTCACTCCTGCGATTGAACTCGAGATGAATAATCCTAATCAGCCAAAAAACAGGGAAGCTCAAGAAATGGATTGTGATACCCAAAATAATGAAGATTCGACAATCGAGGACTCCGAACTGGAAGATAGAGAATCGTCTAATTTAGAAGAGAACGGACAACCATCTAAAAGAAATAGAACAAGAGAATTATCACAAAACGAGCCAAAGTGGAGACCCCACGTAGATCAAATCGAGAGAGAAAAC